TGTGGTTGCGGTTGTGGCTGTGGTTGATGCTGTTGTTGAGGTTGTTGAAATTGTAGTTGGTGTTGTTGCTGGTGATGATGTTGTTTGTGTCGTCGTCCCACCCGCGACCCACCCCGCGACCCACCCGCGGCCCAACCCGCGACACACCCGCGACCCAACCCGCGACCCACCCGCGACCCACCAATGACCCACCCCGCGACCCATCAGCGAGTCACCTCGCGACCCATCCGCGACCCACCCTCGACCCACCCGCGACCCACCCGCGACCCACCCGCGACCCACCCGCGACCCACCCCGCGACCCACCCGCGACCCACCCGCGACCCATTTGTGACGCACCCGCGACCCACCCGCGACCCACCCGCGCCCACCCCGCGACCCACCCGCGACCCAGTTGCGACCCACCCACGACCCACCCGCGACACACACCCACATTGGTTTAACGAAAAAATCGGCGCCTGTGGCGGGCTCGTTGTATAATTTGTAAAACTTTGGCGCCTGCGGTGGGCTTCTGCAAAGTCTCGCAAACTGTCGACGTCCCCGCCGCCCCCTCACTCCTATCCGCATCTGCAGAGTGCTACGCATTGTGCAAGTGTGGAAGGGGGGCGAAGGGTCTAATTAGGTGCGTTTGCGTCAAATTTGTCGTCATACCCCTCCCTCCCAACCCCTGCCATGGCGCAAACCTCCTCTTTATGCGCGCATGGTGCATGGTGGCGTCGGGCAAAGCAATGATCCCGAGAGATTCTGCGACGCACGGTAAAGTACGGCATAGCATGGTGTAGAAGAGCGCGGCAAAACAAAGCATGTCACAGCATGGCTTGGCATTGCGTACTGCCGCATTGCATCACAAAGCGTAACATCGCAAAGCATGGCATCGCACAGCGGAACACAACGCAACATCGCATTGCATGCCATGGCGTGGCACTGGACACCTCAAAGGTAAAACGACCCGTGCACGAAAAAAAGGCTTGTCGGGAATCCCGGCTCCATGTCCTGTGCAACCGTGCCTGCCCGATGTGGTCGCTTTCGAATGCCAAGTGCTGTCTGGTAGGGGTATTGTAATAGTGGAAGGCCCCCTCCGCTTGCTTTCGACACGCTGCCTTGCGTTCCCCGAGCCCCCTGCCAAGTCTCCATGGGCTCCACGGGCAGCTTTGCATGAGGCGTGGCGGAAGGTCCAGGGAACGCACATAAATTGCCGACGGCGACAACGACGCAGACGACGACGGCGGCGGCGGCGGGGGAAGCTGCGGCGGGCGAGGACGGATCAGGGAATAGTACGGCGGGCTGCCAGGCTCGATGGTCTGGTTTCCTTGAACAATCGGTTCACACTTGGCCCCTGGACCCCTCACGCGGTCAAGTCGGATCTGCGCTTTCGAACCGGATCGTTTTAAAAGGTCCCCGGGGGGGACTTTCTTCGGCCCAAAACATCAGCGAATCGACACCGAATGTGAAATCACTTCCGATGATTTTTTCCGGGGGGCAATATTCTTAATTCGGGGGCCGACTTGGGAGGACCGAAACCATGCCGTAGATGACGCTGGAAATAATGACGCCAACGCTGCAGCGGGAACACGATTCGGAACGAGCGGAAGCGTGGAAATGGGACCACCGCTACAGCGGGAACGCGATTCGGAAGACGCGTAGCCTGACAAAAAATGGCGTGGCGAAGCCCCACAGTGGAAGGGGGGGCTTTTGCGGCCCCAAGAATCAATGAATCGACACCGAATGTGGAATCACTTCCGATGGTTATTTCGGGGGGCAATCTTCTAGATCCTGGGGCCGACTTGGAAGGACCGAAAACCATGCCGTGGCATGGCGCTAGACAAAATAACGCCAACGCTGCAGCGGGAACGCGATTCGGAACGAGCGGGAGCGCGGAAATGAGGCCACCGCTGCAGCGGGAGCACGATTCGGAACGACCGGTAGCCCGAAAATAAGGCCAGCGCTTCAGCAGCGTTTTGAACAAGAGCCCAAGCGAAAACGCAACTCCCGGGAATCCTGCGTAAAAAAACAATATGCGGAAGGGGGGCCGGACATTGTCCAGACGTCACCAGGGGAGAGGGGAGAGTAGTATTCATCGGAGGTTGGGGGGTGAGATCGCAGTGCAACGGAGCCCCCCCACCGGGAAATCGAGTTTCGAGTTCGTGCTCGTGCCGCGCGTGCGAGGCGAAGCTGCGTGGGCCAGCGAAAAGATTTCACTCTGCTGTCGCCAGGGGTCCGCCAACACAAATGTATCCCCCCCCCCCCCGGCCGTGTCAAACGGTAGCCCACGTTGTCCCGTCGGTTGCCCGCCGGTTGCTCATCATGGTTGCTCATCAGGATTGCTCATCATGGTTGCTCATCATTGTCCCGCCTGTTGCTCATCATGGTTGCTCATCATTGTCCCGCCGGTTGCTCATCATGGTTGCTCATCATGGTCATCACATGGGCGCTGCCAGTGCAGGCCAACACGGCACCAGGCGCTGCCAGTGCATCTGGCAGCAGTGTCCCTGCTGAGCAAGTGGCAGCGCCCGCCACAAACAGCCAGTCGCCTCCACCGACGCTGGGCGGAGGGTGCTCGTCGACGCCAGGGACTGCCAGCGTGACTCCCCAGCCAGGATAGGAGAGGTCCGGACGCACGCACCAGGCACTGCCAGTGCACCAATCGTCGACTGGGACGTCGTGGGCTGAGTGCCGCGTCGCGCAGCGGCCAACCGAACGACACAAGTCGCCCAAGCGAAGGAACAAAAAACAATCCGCCACGTCATCCACACCATCATCGCCCATCAGCACCACGTTCATCACAGTTGTCGTCATGAGTCACCCCCCTCCCCCCACCCCCCCAGAACCTCCTTATCACCCGCAGGGTGGTCGTATAGGTATTGAGTAATTGTGGAGAGGGGGGGGGGGGAAGGGGGGGGGAGGGGGAGAGGAGGGGGGGAGGGGGGGGGGGGGGGGGAGGGGCGGGGCGGCAGGCAGGCAGCAGGGGCGGGAGGGGAGGCATGGCATGGCAGCGCGGGGCGTGCCGAAGAGCCAGACTCGCCGAGCCATATGACAGGCCCGCGGCGCTTGCGCGGCGGCTGAGCGCGCCGCGCGTCGTCGCTGAGCTGCCCACTGAGCTGCCCACCAACAGCAGGGGCGAGAGGACTGTTGACTGTCGCTTCGGGGCTGAGGAGAAACAAGGAAAGCTCAGAGCAAGTAGGCCAGCCAACTTGCCCTCGGACAATGCCGAAACGCTGCCAATGCCGATGGCGGGGGAGGGGAGGAGGGGCAGGCACGAGGGGTGACGGGAGGGGGAGTAGGAGGCGAGGGAGGAGGCGGAGCAACGCGAGGACGACCAGAAAGGCAGATTGAGGAGGACCTCCTCCTCCTCCTCCTCCTCCTCCTCACCCTCCTGCTCCTCCTTCTTCCCGTCTCCCCGCATCGGCACTGCTGGTCTCTCTGCCTCCGCGGGTCGCGCCGCAGGCGCAGACCGGTCCAAACAGAACAGCACCTGGGCGGTCAAGATCCTGTAGGTTCACGCCATCAGCGTGACGCAGAGGCGTCCAAAGGGACGCAAGGGCAGACGAGGGGTGCCCGGGCAAGCACGCGGGGACACCCGGCCCAAGGGCAAGCCCGGCAAAAGCGGGGCGAGCCCGGGAAGGGAGGGAAGGGCGAAGCCGGGAGCGGGACGAAGCCGAAGCAGGAGAGGAGGAGCCAGCCAGCGAGGAATAAGAAGAACAGAAGAAAGGGGGGCAAACAAGAGGGAGAGAGCAGGAAACTGGGGACAAGAATGGTGAATCAGCCCTCCTGGTCGTCCTCGCTCTCCTCCACCTCCCCCTGTTCCTCCTTTTCCTCCTTCTGTTCCTCGTCCTCCTCCTCCTCCTCCTCGTCCTCACTCCGCCAACTTGTTCCTACTCGCCCTCCCCCTTCTTCTCTCCTCAACCCATTCCTCTGTCTCTTTTTCCGCATTGTCCTCCATCTGCCCTGCACCCCCCCACTTCATCCGTCCTCCCTTTTCCCCCTTCTCATTCCCACAAGTATCACGATTATCCCTCCTTTTGCGCCTCCCCCTCCTCCTGCTTCTCTTGCCCTGCTCACTCTGATTCCTTGCAATTGGTATATACTCCCGTTCTGCCAAAACAGCGGCCAATAAAAGGAGCCACAACAAGCCACTGGAAAAGACCATCCCAAATCAATGGATTTGCCTCGACATTGACGTTTGTTGTTGACGCTGCAAACAGGCGTGGCAGGCGTGGCGGGAATGGGACGCGGCGCACATCCCGCGCAAAAGTTCGAAATGTCGCCCTTGACTCGGCACCGCGCTCATTTTCGTAGAGAATTGAGCTCACGCTTGGGGGCGGCGCAAATGTTTCGCACGCATCACCGTCGACGCACGAACTGACGACCATGTAATTCTCGCATCGAAGCCGCGAAGATTTGGATTTCGCCTGGAAGCTGCGTTACCGCGCGGGCGCGGTGCATGGTTCGTTCGCCGAATCGAATGAAAGCGACAACGGCAATGGGGCCGCACGAGAGCGGGCGAAATGCCGACGTTGCCCAACCGCCGCGCAACTTGCAAACGAAAGTGTCAATGACGTGTCTACGCGGCCGGCGCATGCTTCGTCTTCGCCGCGCACATTGGAAGTTCTCACGGTCCCGCCCCTGCGCGGCCTGCGTAAATTTCCATTCGCCACGTCGTCGGAAGCGGCGCGGCGCGCGAGCGCATTTCTTCTGCGAATGGGAACGCGTTCCGATCCCAACATCAACTTGTGCCACAACTCCTTCACTTAAGTCGGGCGTGTCCCCCTACAGGGGGATTTGGGCGAAAAAAAACAAATACTTGGAAAAACACTCCAACATAGAAAAACAATAATCAACAAATAGTCCCCAGACTATGTTTTGGCTATCTTTCAATATTCCGCCTGTAGAAGGACAGGCCCGACTTAATGCTTCACCGACGGGGACAGGAGGAGCGATGAGGCGAGGAGGACGAGGCGGGGACGGAGGAGCGAGGAGCAGGCAGATCGGCGACCCTCCCGCCTTGCAGCGCTCCGCGAACCTGTCTGGGGCTCTCTCCCCGTTGACGGACTCCACCTGTTGGGCAAAGGGGGGGGGCGGAGAGGACGGGCGGCGGGGAGAGTGACGAGCGGGAGGGGCTGCAGGGTACGAGGAGAAGCACGAGGAAGGGAGGAACGAGGAGGAGGAGAAGGAGGAGGAGGAGTGACGGGGAGCACGAGGAGGAGGAGGAGGAGGAAGAGGAGGAGAAGAGGAGGAGCAGGAGGAGAGGGGGCTGGAAGGTACGAGGAAGACCACGAGAAAGGGGGGAGCCGGACGAGGAGGAGGAGGAGGAGGGAAGGGGAGCCGGAGGAAATGAGGCGGAGAGGCGGAGTGAGGGAGGCAGGAGGGACAGGCACGAGGGACGGAGGAGGGAGAGTCCAGGGAGAGGGTGAGCAGGGCGGGAGGATGGAGTACGAGCAGCGGGACGACGAGGAGGACGAGAGGGCGAGGAGAATAGAAAACAGAAGGAGGAGGAGGAGAAGCGACGAGAAGAGGGGGAATGAGAGGATGAACGAAGGGAGGTGCTGTGGGATATCATGAGGAGGGTCCATGATGGCGATGACATGATGATGAGAATGGGGACGAGAAGGACGAGCAGCAACAGCAGGAACACGAGAGGAAGGATGGGGGGAACGGGGGCACGGAGGAGGGCGGCGACGACGAGCGGAAGGACTGAAAAGAAGGGAAGGCTGCCCTGGGAGCGGGTGCTACCCGTGTGGTCCCTGGTCCAATGTGACCCCAAACATTTCCAAAAAGGCCCGCACGTAGAGGGCAGAAGAAACACCGTCATTATCAGCACCCATCTACGCGAAACTTTCTTGAAAGCGCACCGTAGACCTTACGTAGGACGGCGTCGAACAAGCCATGACTGCTTAGTGAACGCCCATGGCTGTTAGTAAACGCTACAGACCACCCCTTAACTTAAAGTGGCAAATCCCTAACCTGACCTGACCCAGGCCCTGTCGACACTGCGCCAAAGCTAACCTGACCCATTAAAGCGAACGTGACCAACGCCTCGGAGACACCAGTGTGTGTGTGTGTGTGTGTGTGTGTGTGTCGCGCGCGCGCTCTGTAGCAAATGTAGCGCCAGAATGGGGCGGGGGGATGCACAACAAATGCAATGCATGGGGGGGTTGAAATGATGGGGGTCGGGGTGATTTTAGGCCATTAACAACGGCCTCCCTTGCACCCCTCACGGAACCAAGAGGGCCCGGGCTCCAAAATGGAGCGCAAGTCTGGGGACAACTCGGGCCAGGACCACTTCCCAGAACGTCCACGTGGTAATTGTTAGGGCTACGTGGACCCCCAGAGGTCTGGACTCCTTCCCCGGAACATGGTTTTCATCCAGTTTGTTTTCTGACGGTCCAGGGGCCCTCTGAGAGCCAACCCGAAGCCGAACATCGAAAACACCATCGCGTCGTCATCCTTTCGCAACGGGAGGAGATGGGGCCACGCGGGAACGCCCGAACACCTCTGCGAGGGCACATGTGGGGCCACGCGGCAACCCCCGACTCCGCGGCGTCTTCGAAATGGCCCCCGCCTCGTCGCCAGGGCTCACGCACAGCTGGAAGGTCGCCTCGGGTCGGCGGGACCACCCCGTTCCGACCTGCCCCCCCGCCCCCATCCGCCTGAAGCCGAAGCCAGGGCGAGGATACCTCCGGGTGAGAATACGTAGATCGAGAATCTCTGAGACCCAGCGACTTTGGAAGATGTCTCGGGCGCCGCGGCCTTATCAGAGCGTTCCGGAGCGCTCTGAGATGGTTTCACGACGCTCTGGACCGGATTTCTCCTCATACTAGCTGGGCCGGAGGATGGCGACGGGTGTGCAGGTTGTGCACTCTGGCCTGAGGCCACTCGGACTCAACGCGAAAGCTGAGAGCAACTCAGCGTCAAGCAACGCCTGCTCTTCCCAGTCGAGAACGGAAAGGTTCACCCGTCTTGCGAGTGTTCCCTACCCTTCGCTGGTCAGGACGCCTGCAGGCCACCGACCAGCCGAGTCCGGCCGCAGCGACGAGGAGCCCAAAACAGGGATGAAGGGCCAAGGGAGATGGATGGAGGGAGGCAGAAAGGACGAAGCGAAGGGGGCAGGAGTCAGGTGGAGGTGAAGCGAGGTGATGGGATGTCCAGGGAGAAGGAAGAGGAGTATGAGGACAATGGATGTAGAAATGGAAAGAAGGGGGAGACGAGTAGGAAGACGAGGCACGAAGAAGGAGGGCGAAAAAGGGAGAGAGGGAAGGTGGAGGAAGAGGATGAAGGGCCCCGGGACGCCCAAATACTTACACACAAATCGCACGACTCCCCATATTCGCTCATCATGTTCTGGAGTTTCATCTTCCCACCTCCTTCCCATCTTTGCCGATTTTTTCCTGGGGATCGACGGTCCGTGGTGTCTGTGCCTCCTGAGAGGGGCCTCCTGGCCTCCTGGCCAGGCCGGGAAAGGGGCCGAGAGCCCAGGAAAGGGGCCCCGGACGGGCCTCGACAACAGAAGCGTGGAGAGCCGGCGGACAGCGGGATGTCCGCACGCCTGCCGCGAGCAAGCCCTGCTCTCCTCCTTGTCCTCGTCGCCGTCCTCCTCCTGCTCCTCCTCGTCCTCGTCGCCGTCCCCGCCGCTGTCCTCCTCGACCTCTCCTTCTCGTCCTCGTCCTCGTCCTCGTCGCCGTCCTCCTCGGGCGCGGCCTAACCGACCTCTAGCAAACCATCCCCTTCCGTGACGTCATCCTCGCCTCTCGAACTCCCCTCCGGCCGCATGCTTAGGTCTTGGGGCGAGGCGAGGGGGATGTCACCGAAGGAGATGGTTTGCTAGGGGTCGGTCAGGCCGCCCCTGACCTCCTCTCCGTCGTTGTCCTCCTCCTCCTCCTGCTCCTCCTGCTCCTCATGCTTGCGAAGGTCTGGAGTCCCACCAGCCCTCTGGGCGTAGGTGGTCTAGAACAGATCCTCTTCAATCCCTCCCTCTTCCCCGTTGGAGAGGATTTACCCCTCCCCCTACCCCCTCCCCTGGACCTGGACGGAGGGTTTCGCGAGCGGTCGGACGGCCCTTTTGGCCCCAAGATGGCTCCAAGAGCGCCTCAGCGAGCCCAAGATAACCTCCAAGATGGCTCAAGATATCGCAGATCGCTTAAGATGGCTCCCGAGATGTTCCAAGAGGCCCAAAGACGGCCCCAAGACGGCTCCAAGTGGCCAAAGAGCTCCCCAAGGAGGCCTGGAAGAGGCCAACATCGTCCCAAAACGTTAAGAACATCAATGTGTTGTGCTTTCTCCCCGTTTCGCTTCCGATGGCCATCCAAGGTCTCAAGATGGCTCCAAGATGGCCCTAGAGAGCCCCACAAGAGGCCCAAGAAAGCCCCAAGACGGCCCCAAGAGCGCCCAAGAGCGCTCCACGAGCGCCCCAAGAGCGCCCCAAGAGGCGATGTTTGGAGCTCCTGAGGGGGGAGGCTAATTAGTGAACCTGCCTTCGTTGATCGATCTCCTCCAAAATGGCCCCAAGAGCGCCCCCACAGCCCCCAAGAGCGCCCCAAGAGCACCCCAAGAGGCGCCCAGACGGCCCCAAGAGGCGCCCAAGAGGCCTCCAAGAGGCTCCCAAGAGACCCCCAAGAAGCCGCACGAGGATCTCTGACATGCATTTAAAACGCTTCTGGCTTTTCGTTTCGCCGTCCTCTTCAATTTCTCATCCCCCTCTTCCTCCTCCTCCTTCTCCTCCTTCTCTTCCGTCTCCTCCCTCTGCTCCTTCTCCTCCTTCTCGTCCTCCTCCTCCTCTCCCTACTCCACATCCTCCTCCTCATTCTCCTCCTCCTCATTATCCTCCTCCTCCTCCTCCTCCTCTTCCTCCTCCTCCTCCTCCTCCTCCTCCTCCTCCCCCTCAGCCTCCCCCTCCGACGAGGATTCCTTCTCCATCCTCCCCCTCTTGGGGTGCGTGACAGCTTCCCCCGCCCTTTGTTATTCTGCATGCTCCCCGACTTCCCTGATCACCTCAACTCCCCTGGGCGTCGCTTCTGGATGGGCTGGTGGGGATACTTTTTTGGATTCGCGGCCCGCAAGGAAAAGTCCAGAAGGCGGTGTAAACGAGGCTGGGGCACAGCGCACGGGAGAGCAGAGAATTAACGGCGCAGGACAAGTGCCGGCCGAAGAGGCAACCGCGAAGGCGCCAGATAATTAACAACGCTGGACATGTGCCAGCAAAGAGGCAACTGACAAGATACCAGCTGAAGCCCTGACGCCACCACGCGGACCCCAAAAGCCGCTGAGCGTGTGCCAGCGAAAGTGGGGAGGGCGGAAAGGCCGGACCCGCAGGTGGGGTCAGACTGCCAGGCGGAACGTGCCAACACCACTCACTCACTTGGAACGTGGGCCAGACTGTACGCCGCTGAGAGGGTTCGGGTCAATGCCTGGAGAAGGCCGACCACAAGAGAGAGCGCCCGCGATGGCCTCTGGGACCAAGGCGGTGTGCGGCCTGCGCACCCAGAACGCCCTCCTGTGGCAGTAGCCAACGTCCAACACAAGCGTCAGAACGGTGCCTTGACCGACGTCCGTGTCCGCCGATGCCGGCAAGCGGCCGACCGTACTGTCAACGCGCCCATGTGAAAGGGGGTCAGGAGTCGCCGTCCCTACAGGCGACGAAGTGGAAACCACTGCATGTTGCCGACTCCCAAGGATGGGCACCCGGAATGGCTGAGGCCAGCGTCCAGTGTGTCCCGGCCCGCATACGTCGCGGGCAACATGAAGAGTGTAGCATGCCGAGAGCGGGCGAAGCGCCTTGAGCGAGCCCTCTCGGAGCACCACGGGCCGCCACTGCGGCCAAACCGACCACGGGATTATTCCAGCCGGCCGAACGGGCTAAAGGCCCACGAGAACGCAGGAACTATCACGGTGGTGGGGAGGGTACCTCAACCCCAGGAGGTAACATCAGTCCGCCCCAGTGTCCCACTGCATCGGTGAAACATGTCCTGTCGCTGTCTGCCGACAGGTGTGGCCGCCTGGTGGGGACCCAGTGGCCCTGGGGCCCACAGCAACTCATCCTCCATCGGAAATCGCTTCCCTGTGGCGACGAGAAAGGGGGGCTAGCAGCCGATAGCCGCAGTCATGAGGGTAGAAGCAATGGCGACGAGAAAGGGGGTCAGCAGCCGATAGCCGCAGAATGACAGACAGCACGTGGCGACGAGGGAAGGGGAGTACAGCCGATAGCCGCGGAACTGGAGAGCGTGGCGAAAGGTCAGGGCGAGCGGCCTGAGCCGCAGGACATCGTCTGGGGTGGGAACGTCCTAGAGGGAGTCCCACGGCACACGTGCGCAGCAAATCTTCCGCGAAGGGGGGCCACGCGTTGTCCCGGCAGCCCGACGCCGTACGCCTTGGCGGCTTTTGTAGGGCCGGCCTCGCCCTAGTCGGGGGCCCCTGCCAGGCCCTCTGCCGGTCTACCAGCGCGCGAGCTCCCATCCTCGCTGTCGCTTATCGGCGCATTGTTCGTCACTTTTCGGGGCGGTCCTTTTCTCCCTGTTCCCCCACGAAGCTCCCCTCCAAGAGCTATCCTGGTGGCCCCACCCTTCCCATCGCGGCCTTGGGCGCCATGGGGCTCCAGAGCTGGATGCTCCCGACCAGGTGGTCTCCCTGTCGGTGTACGCTGGCGGGGCGGCTGTGCCGTCTCTGGGCCTGGTCCATGGGTGCTGCTGCGCAGCCCGCTGTATTTGCTGGAGGGTTGGGTCTGCTCGTTGTGACTTGCCCTGTCGGGCGGGGCAGGGGGCTGGGTACTGTCCTTCTGTCGGACCAAGGGTACGGGTTGCCTTTGCTGTCTTGTCCCTTGGATGCGCTGGCCCTTGCGCCGCGATGTAGTAGGCCACGATATTTCTCAGCGACCTTTTGCCATTCAGCATGGAGATGGTGGTGTCTCACCAACTTGTAGGCGTCGTAGCCCGCGGCTTCCCACGCCCGCAGGTTTTTTTCGCACCGCTCCCTTGTGTTCCTCCTGGGGTCCGAGTGGATGTCGACCCACGGTAGACCCTGCAGGCTGCCGGCCCTGCGAACCTATCCTCTCCACGCCCCGTTAAATGCGCCTCCGAATGTCTTCTGTAATCTGGTGACTTTCTCTTGGGCTGGCTCGTCCCTCTGGATGTCGGCCTCGTCGATGGACCTCATGTACATGGGGAGCCCTCCTAGGGGGTCGTCTTGATGCGAGGTGGGACTGGCTCAGCCTGTGGGCGCGGCCGTCCCTCTGGGCTGCTGTCCTGCCGGGGGCTGGACGCCTGGCGGGTCTCGTGCGCTGGGGCTGCGAACTCCTGGTATCCTGACTGCAGACTGGCCTGCTCGCTTTCCCTCGTAGTTTCCTATGGTCAGCCCTCTTGTCACGGATTTGTTTCATGTCCTCTCGGAAGCGGGCCGTCGCGTAAGGCGTCCAAGTGGCAGTTTCCTTCTTGTCGGGGGGGACTGTCCACAGCACCGTCCGCTTGAGGGAGCCGTCTCTGCCGCTGGGGCTGCTGATTTCGGTTTCCCCGTCCTGCTGCAGGGGGCTGTCGACCATGGAGACCGTCCTCTCTGGATTGTCCTCATCCCAGTCTACCTCGAACGGGTTATCGCCGTTACCGTGGAAGTCCCTATCCGAGGATGGTTCCTCCTGTATCTCCTTCGTCGCTTTTGTGGCCCCTGGGGGCTGCTGGCCGAGGTCATCACCGATGGTGTGGCCGCCCGAGGCTGGAGGGCGCTTGTGCCAGGCAGCGGCGGGGGAGTGGTCTCCGGCGTCGTTGCTGCACCGGGCGCTGTGCTCGCCAGCGAGGAATTCCAGCGTTCCCCCTGCGATATCGTCCTTCCTGAGGGATAAGAAGCGGTGCAGCGTTTCCAACGGCTGCTGCCAGGGGTCTTGCCCTCTTTGGCAGTCGAGCGCGGCCGAGAAGGTGTGCCAGTCCCCCTACCTACCTGCCTACCGACTGAGGCACCGACACCGCAGGACCACAGGGGGGCGTTGGATCGGAGGCTAGGGGGTGAGATCGCAAAGAAACGGAGACCCCCCACCGGGGAATCGGTTTCGGTTTCGTGTTCGTGTCGCGCGTGCGGGCCAGGCGAAGCTGCGCGCGATCCTCCTGTAGCTAGGCCGAAGTAGGAGCAAAAGTCCGTTCCCGTCCGCCGGTGGCTGGGAGGTGCCAATTGGGCCGGGCGGTGTCCCGGGTGTCCCGGGTGTCAGTAGGAGCGAAACTCCATTTCCAGTCCGCCGGTGGCCGTGAGGTGTCCCACTTGGGCCGGGCGGTGTCCCGGGTGTCCCGGGCGTCCCGGCGCTAACGCATGTCGTAAATTTCATAGTTAATTTGTTTCGGCGCCTGCGGCGGGCTTTCTTATCCAATCCAGCTTATCTTTTCCAATCCATCTTGTCCAATCCAATCCATCTTATCTCATCCAACCCATCTTGTCCCATCTTATCTTATCCCACCCAATCCATTCCACCCAACCCAATCCATCGTGGGATCTCATCGTCATCGCGATCATCATTGTGGTAGTGGGAGACTCTGACAGAGAGGGAGAGAGAGAGAGAGAGAGGGCGAGAGAGAGAGAGAAAGAGACAGAGATAGAGAGAGACAGAGAGAAAGAGAGAGATGAGATCAGGGTGACAGGCTGGAGGTCAGTCAAGGTGGGCATTTGATCTCAATCCCCCCCAAACCTCCCTATCGCCCGCAGGGCGGTCGTATAGGTACGGATATGCCCCGTGCCCTGAAGGGCGGGGCCCAGCGATATCCACTGCCTCCTGCTGGCGGCACCGCACGAGAGGCCGGAGCCTTCTCAGAAAACTGGCAGGCGGCTTACCAAAAGGGGCTGGAGGCTTCACAGCTAGCCTTGTGAGAACACCCGTGCCCTTCTGAGAAGGCGCCTGCATTATAAGAACCCCGCCGCCTTCTTTGAATGCCCCCCCGCGCCACCCCCCTGCGCGATCCTGGGATCCTGGAAAGTCGGCCTCCCGGGCGGTGTATGTACTTCAAGTCCACCAGCCTCGAACTGCTGCACCCGCTCATCCTCCGACGTCCTCCTGACTTGTCCTACTCTTCCCTCCTCGACTTCCAAGTGCTGCTCCTCCTCCTCTTTTCCACCTCCAGCTCCTCCTCGCCCCCCCCTTCCACCTCCTGCTCCACCTCCTGCTTCTCATTCTCCTCCTCCTCCTCCTCCTCCTCCTCCTCCTCCTCGTTCCCCCCACCTTTCCACCTCGTCCTCCTCTATTTCGCCCTCCTGCCTTCCGCTCCCTCCCTCTGGCCCCGAGTCCCAGAGGAGAAACAACATACATTAAACACTTTCGGGTGTCCGTGAGGATCTCTCGAGTCGGCGCTGGACCCTCCTCCCTGGCACGGGGAGCGCGCCACCAAAGACTCCACGCGGACCTTCGAAAATAGATGCTTATGTACATGTTCCTTATTCAACACTCATCCTTCCTCCCCCCGAGCCTGAAAAAGTGGGGGCCTGAAGAAAACGGGACCTGGACTCCGACATGTTTTTATCCCAAACCGTTTTCTGACAGCCCCCAGGAATGTGGAAGTCCCACGGGGACAGAATCGGTGAAACAAATACAACAGTGCCCGCCGCCCCCCCGGGCTAACGTTGCCACTGACGTTTCCCTCAGAATCCTTTCTCCTTCCTGGGGACTGGAACTGAGAGTTCTCGGGCCATATAACGAGCCTCCAGCGGCCGCTTGGAACGAGTCGGGCAACCCTGGGGGCAGGTCTCGGCGAGGCGCAGCTGATAGAAACACACACTGCGGCGAGAAAGCCTCTAAGATGAGGTCGGACATGTCCCCCTACAGGCGGATTTTAGGCGAACGGTCAAACATATGGATTTCTTCATGTATTTTTTATATACAAACATATATATATATATATATATATATATATGTGAAATCGTCCCCGTACTATGTTTGGACTATGTTTGCATCTTCCTCCTGTAGAGGGACATGCCCGCCCTGGGTGTGCGCTATGGCCAAAAGGCTTCGAGTGGGGATTCCTGCCGTGGCGACGCGGGCGATCCAGGGGGCTCAAAAACCCATACAACAAGCAGGTTTAAGCTAAAGCGTCGGGCTTCGAACCTCGAAGTCCGACCCCACCCCTCCCCCCTGGAACTGCCAGGGGGGGGGTTGAGAAGGGACCGGCCGTCCTGGTTTTCATAGTAGGTCCCTACCACTAAAAGTTTGCAGTGCCACATGATGCTTGCAGAACAAAAGCAGTGCTCTTAGAACACGAAACCTACGTCAGAAAAAAGACTGACCCAGCCAGAGCTGCTCTGACGGAGTTGGAAATCACATAAGGTCCTTTGAATACTGCCTCTGTATATAAAGCACGATCAAAACGCCATAAACGTAAACTTGTGGATGCCTGCGCGGATTTCTTGCATCGGCGCAGGGCCCCTTCCAGCCAGCGCGCGGAACGCGACAGGGGCAGCACCGGAGGCGCCGCAGGGGGGGGCAGTCGGCGCTGGACCCCCCCAGCTTAGATCCAAGAAATCCGCGTGGACCGTCGAGCACTCGTGATCATGCGTGATTTGTCATGTCCTCTTCTGACTCTCCGACACGAGCAGACCAGGACGCTTCGTCACGCCTTCCAGGGTGCGGCGGGCGACAATCCTCCGCGCGGCGGTTGTGCCGGTCCACCAGCTTGCCCGGCAGCACCTCCGCGCGCGCGGCGCCGGGGCGGCGTCGCCGCTGCGCAGCTGCGCACGCAGCGAACGCTGCGGAAGGTGCCCCTGGGCCAACGGTGTCGCCAAGAGTCCCGGGGAGGCCACCACTCCCCCCCCCCTTCGTCGTGAAGAAATCACGAACGAACGAAAGAAGCTGCCGTCGTCGGGGAGCCGGCGTCCGTGCAACGGAAGCAGGCGCGCTGGTCGCGCGCAGACCTTCTACGAAGGCCACTGGCAATAGAAGCGTGTCAGGCCCGAGCGGACCACGAAACGCTTTTGGCTCGTTTCGGCCTCCGGAAGCCCCCATCGGGCCCCGATACTGTAAATTACTCGACGCGGAGATCCCCAAATGTGCATGCCATACTCCTATCACGTGCCGCTGAAGAACTCTGTCTGTGTGAATCTGGGTGTGAGGGCGAGTCCGTGTAGACGACAGGCGCAGCAATTACGACGACGACAGCGACGACTTCAGTGACGTCCTCCTTTTTCTCCTCCTCCCCCTCCTCCTCCTCCTCCTCCTCCTCCTCCTCTGGACAAGCGGAAACCCGAGCGCAACTCAGCCAAGCGCGCATGGCGTTGCTACGCCCGCTCTCACGCGTGCTACTCGTGGCGCATGCTGGGTTGGCACTCGGGGTGCCCAAGTGCCACGCCGGCTAGATCGCGGCAAACATTTGTGTGAGCCTTGGTGCAAGTGAATATGGACGTGGGTGGTCTGAGTGTGACCGAGTCAGAGTGCAAGAGGACGCGGGTATCATCGAGCCTGAGTGTGAGCGACTCTGGATATAGTCATAGTGACAAAGAATTGGTCTGAGCACGTTTGAGTCTGAGCGCGAACCAGTCTAAGTGCGAGCGTGTCTGAGTGTGAGTGAGTCTGAGTGTGGATGGGTCTGAGTTTGAATCTGAGTGTGGATGAGTCTGAGTTCGAATGTGACGAAAACAAATCTGAGTATCAATGTGCCTGGATGCGAGGTAGTCTGCGTATGAGTGAGTCTGAGGTCCGGTGAGCCTGAGTGTGAGTGAGTCTGGAATGCGAATTGGTCGGGGTGTGGGTGAGTCTGAGTTTGAGACGGCCCGAGTATGAGCGGGCAGGTCTGCGTGAGTCTGGGTATGATCGAATATGGGTATGAACGAGTCTGCATGTGATGACTGAGTGTGGGTGAGGAAGAGGTGCTGATGAGTGAGCGAGGAGCACGCAAGTCCAAAGACAGTCTGGGGGGGGGCAGGAACCAGCAAACCTCCTGAGACATCCCCCAATCAGAGCGCAAATCTTGGAGTGTCCCCGCCCGTGGCGGCTCCGCGTTGGGGTGCCCAAGTGCCACGCCAGCTATATCACGGCGAACATTGAATCACAACAAAAGAAACGTCGGGCGGAGTGGCAGAAACAGGCAAACCGCCTGAGACATCCCCACGTTCACACCACTGGCGGCTCCCCCTTGGGGTGCTCAAGTGCCACGCCTGCGATATCGTGGTGAGCAAGGGCTCACAAAAGGAAATAAGGCTGATGGACGGAACAAAAGCAGACCGCCTGAGATGTCTCCACAATCTTGTCGCGATCCCTGGAGTGTTCCCACCCCTGGCGGCTCGGAGCCGCCAGTGCAACGCCTGCTATATCGCGGCAAGCATCAGACCACCAACAGAAGAACGTCTGGGGGGACAGAAATAGGCAAACCGTCTGAGACATCATCATCACAAACAGCTCCGAAAGCACAGGATGTTGGGTATGCAAACAGGCAAACCGCCTGAGACATCCCCACAATCTGGGCGCGAATCCAGGAATGTCCCCACACCTGGCGCCCACCCTCAGGAGCGCTGAAATCAGCACCTCGCCTGTGACATCCTCAGAATCTGAGGACGTTGGGCATGCAAACAGGCAAACTGCCTGAGACATCCCCACATCCGAGGCGCGAATCCTGGAGTGTCCCCCCCCCCCTGGCGCCCCCCTCCTTGGGGTGCCGAAGTGTTACGCCTGCCATATGGCCATGAGCATTAGACCACTCAAGAGCACGAGTGGGTCAGGACTCCGCCAGGGACGCCGACAGACGGCCATGGAGGGGCCAAAGAGGCCTCCAGGACGGCCTCAAGAGGCCCCCAAGAGGGCCTCAGTCCGCCGGGAGAAAACTACACTATACCCAGAAGCCCTGGGGGGTGGGGCGAGGGTCCTCGCGGTGGGGCGTGCAGAACTCCCTCCCTGGGGCGTGCTCTTTGCAGGCTGCCCTTGGACATGGTCGGTGGAATCTGACCGGAGGGTGTGGCACACAAGCAACTTTCGGATGGCCCCAGGACGCCTCCAAGATTGCCCAGGAGGGCCCGAAGACGACAACATGAAAACAGGTGTTGCATTGGTTTGTGCTTGCGCATGTGCTGCTCTACGTTCCAAGGTCGCTGCAAATGCAAGAACCAGGGCCCCCGCTGTTACCCAAGATGCCGCCAACAAATCGGCCAGGATAGCCGAACAGTGCGCTAACTGCAAATACAGACTCTCGAGATTAACCCGAGAGGCCACAGGATATATAACCCTGGTCATCAAATGGTCCCGGATGCCCCGAGGTGCCCGCTGGAGGACACAAGATCGAAAGATGACCTCCCGAACTGTCTCAATGTAGCCACAATGTGGCTCAGCATGTCGGTTCCTTCTCCGCCTCCTCCTCCTCCTGCTGCTGCTGTTATTCCTCCTCCTCCTCCGCCGCCTCGGCCTCGTCCTCCACATCCTGTTCCTCCTGCTCCTGCTCCTCCTGCTGCAGCTCCTGCTCCTCCTCCCCCCCTCCTCTCTGCTGCTCCGTCCCCTCCCCCCGCTGCTAATTACTCCTTCTCCATCCTCTCTTGCTGAGCACCACCACCCTCCTTATCCTCCTCTTCCTCCTCCTCCTCCTCCTCCTCCTCCTCCTCCTCCTCCGTCTCCTCCTCCTCCTCCTCCTCCGTACTCATGCTGCTCCCCCTCCTCCTCATCATGCTCCTCTTCCTCCCTCCTCCATCCCCCCTCCCCCCCCCGGCCCTCCCCCTCCCCAGTCCCTCCCCAAACATCCGACCATGAGCTCTGCTCACTGCGCGGCCACAGAGGTCCCGACCGGCTCCGGGGCCAGGTCCTCGCCCAGGACCTGGCTTTGAGGGCCCGGGTGGCAGAAAACGTGCACCAAGAGGCCGAACCCTGAGAGCAAACATCGCCCAGAGCGAAAAGGGGACTGTCGGAGAACCAGGCCCCCGCCCTCCCAGCCACACGGGGGAGTGACCCTACATGAAGGGGCCCTGGGACACACAAAGATATACAAACAAATAAAAGGATCCCCCATATTTTCCAATATTTTCTTGACTTTTGTCGCCCCCCCACTCCCCATATTTTCCTATATTTTCTGGTGAATCGACGATTAATTGTGTCTGTGTGTGTGTGTGTGTGTGTGTGTGTGTGTGTGTGTGTGTCTGTGTCTGTGTCTGTGTCTGTGTCTGTGTCTGTGTCTGTGTCTGTGTCTGTGTCTGTGTCTGTGTCTGTGTCTGTGTGTTCTCTCCCCTCCTGACTACAGGCGCGGGGGACCTTCGGTGCGCGGTCTGCCGACCGTTGCCTGCGGTGCGGCGGTGGCGTCCTGCGTGCTCGGGCTCGGCTCCCCTCGGCCGTTGCTCGATGGGGGGCGGCGATGATTGGGGGGGGGGGGGGGGAAACGTGCACCTTTCGGCTCCCTTCTGGGCCCCAAGGGCCCCCCTCTAGGGCCCCTTTTACTGGGGCACGGGGCACGGCAGGTGCACCTTCCTGCGCCCCCATCCCCCCGTTTCTCGCCCTCTCCCCCTTGCGCAACGCCGGCCCGCGTGCTCGGGCTCGGCTCTCTGAGGGGCCAGTCGCGCGCGGTTTTCTTCCCTCGTTCTCCGCCTTTCTACGCCTCGATGCTTCGCGCGAGGCCGCGACGGCCACCACAGGTGTGTGACTGGCATCCGCCTGCCGCCCCCCGCCACTGTCACGTGAGGGCTTTCTCCCATGCCCGGGCAGCACAGATCTCGCTGGAGGTGGGCCAGCATCGGATCCTGGAGCGGGATCGGAATCGAAGTCGGGGCCAAGATCGGCGAACATCGCATCGGCTCGGAAATCGGACATGAAAGCTGGATGGTCATCGAATCGAGCATTTTTTGGTTGAGCCAAATCGGAGTCGAATATCCCCACCCACCGTTTCGTTGACCGAGGTGTCACACGGCGGGCAAATAAACCTTCAGAGAGACGACATAACACAGTTTCTGCGATCTACGAGCGGGGGTGTCGCCAACAACTGGTTGGATGTCGCTGGGAACACAACATCATGGAGCACTTTGGAAAACGATTTCCTCGACCACATGCACTTCTGAATGGGCTCCGGCCCATCAGCGCCGCCCTCAAGGGGCCCGCCGGCCGGCGGATTCGCGCGTCCTACGTCCTGCGTCCTTCGTCACTGAAAGCCGCGCACCAAAGGTCACTCCCGCGAAGGGTCACTTGGGTCGCACGTAGATGCGCTGGGGTGTGGGCCTTCGCCCGACATATGGTGAACATATCTGGTTGGTGGTCCCACGCTCGGAAACCTACCCCGATGGATGGGGATAGGGAGCTCAGACGTGGATGAGGTGGGTGATATGTGGCCTAACCTAGCTTATAAGCGGGCTACAAGTGCCCTAAGTGGCCGAGGGGGGTTAGACAACTCCGCTAAGTAGGCGGAGCCCACTTAGCCCGTAACTCACTTCGAATGTAAACTAGGCCAGATACCACCCACCTCAGCATCCACTTCTGAGCCCCCTGTCCTTCTTCGCAACCCCAGCGGTCATCTCAGCATGTTGTGCGCGATGGCGGTAGCGAGCATAGTTTCGTGGTCCTACCTGCAACCGAGCCCTCCCGCCGAGTGTCGCCCTCGTCGCCACCGCCAAATCCGCGCCCCGTCGAGACGCCCTAACCCGTGCGGCGACGGCCCGTGCGGTGACCGCGGGATCCCACCGCACGGGTCCTCACCGCACGGCCCACCACCGCAAGGGCCATGGCATCCTGGAAAAAAACAAGGCTGGGATCGGGATAAATCGCTCCAGAGCGTTCCGGAGCGCTCTCAGAGCGTTCCGGAACGCTCTGGAGCGGCCGCGGCGCCCAACACATCCTCCAAACCCGCCGATTCTCAGAGATTTCGAGTTATCCCGATCCGATCTTGTCCCGATCTTCGCGTCGTTTGATGGACGCCCCCTGCCGCCTGAGGCGCCCTCGGAGATCGGCCCAGGCCCCAAATCCGTGCCGGGGCCACGGATCCATCCCCACGGTGCTCCCCGCGGGCTCGCCGCACGGTGTGGTCGCCGGCGGCCGCCCGGGGCGATCTGGAATGTCTTGGTGCCTGGGCCGCACCTCGAGGTTCTTCGGCGGCCGGCCGGGGCGATCTGGGGGCACCCCCAAATTTGCGCTTTCACGGTCAGGCGCAGCTGCTGGAACGCATCCCCGGGGCAGGAGAGAGCCAGAGGCACCGACCAGCGCATACGAAACCCGACAAGAGCAACAGCAGTGAGGGGGCGGCCGGGTGGGTCGCGGGGCGGATCGCAGGTGGGGTGGGTCGCGGGTGGGTCGCGGGCGGGTCGAGGGCGAGGTCGCGGGCGGGTCGCGGACGAGGACGATCGTTCGGCCCCCGCACTCTGACGAAAACCCCACCGACTCGCCACACGGGGCGGTCACCGCGTTCGTGTGGGCTCTCCCGAGCCCCGCCCCGCGGGCGACCCGGCGGCCTCCTTCACGACGGTGCGGGTCGGGTCTCGCGACGACCTGCGCGACTCCGCGCGGCTAGAGGCCACAGTCAGGGGGGGCTCATCCGTAAGGATAGATCGTACAGCAAGTTAGAAGTCAACTCTCAGAACGACTATGACCTAACAAAACAATTGCGAAGCCATTGAGCAGGAGCAGGCCGCATGAAGCCCGGGATTAACCCGATTCACCAGGATGAGGCCAAAGGGATGAAGCCAGATTCAGCGCGGCGAAGCTGGATTAAGCGGGAATGGCCGAGATTCGACAAGTTTCCGACCATGGATATACCAGAGCAGATTCTGAATGCAACCTCCCAGGAATTGCATCCAAAAGGAAGCACTGGTAGGACATTAAGTGCCTGAGTCCAAAGTGATGGGGAGGGGAATCCTCTTTGCTGCTGCTGCTGGCCAGAGGGGAAGAGTTGTGATGTCGGCGATAGCGATGACGATGATGCTGATGATGATGATGATGATGACGATGACGATGCCGAGGATGATGATGATGATGATGATGATGATGATGATGATGATGATGATGATGATGATGCTGATGATGCTGATGCTGATGATGATGATGATGATGATGACGATGACGATGATGGTGACGATGATGACGATGACGATGACGATCAACATGATGATGATGATGCTGCTGCTGCTGATGATGATGATGATGATGATGATGATGCTGATGACGTCGACGTTGATGTCCCGTGCAGCCTGGGAGAGCGCCGCACGGCCCGTACGGCGCTCTGGCTGGCCGGCCGGCCGCGAGCGAGGCGGGGGCGAACGGGACGGGAGGGCGGGGCAGGACGGGAGAAGGCCGGGCGGATGGAGGGCTCGGCTGACTCGGCGGACTCGACGACGACGACGACGACCACAACGACGACGACGAAGACGACGACCACAATGACGAAGACGACAACCACAACGACGACGACGAAGATCTGGGCGGTCGAAGAGCGCGCATGGGGAGGCGCGCGGCCTGGGCCCGGGTACCTCAGGGGGGAGGTTCACGGCGACGGGGAGCAGAGCGAAGGAGGGCGAGACCGAGGAGAAAGAGGGCGGGGAGCGCTGTGGTCGTTGTCCTCGATGTGATCGCGATCGTTGTCGATCATTGTCGTCGTGTTCGTTGTCGTCGTTGTCGTTGTGATCGTTGCGATCGTTGAAACGCCTGGGGGTGCGGGAAAAAATGGGGGGATGCCCAGGGTGGGGGCAGCACCGAGCTGGAATCGGCGACACATCACCGACAGGTCGGTGATAGGCCCAAGACCGCGAATCCGCATGTTCTTGGGCGGCGTGGGCTACCGGGCGACCATCGGCAATGAATGGGTCGATGCACCCCCCCTGGGCCTAATTATCCCCCACGACCTTGCCCCTGAGGAGGGGAGAGCAAAGCAGAGCAAAGCAAAGCAAAGCACCAGACCAATTGACTCCCGTTCCTGTGGGGCTAGGAGTTTGGATCTGAGCAGCCTCAGAAGCAGCCCTCCTGCGAGAAAGGCCCGGTGGGCGGGGAACGCTCACGCCCTGAGACGGCCCGTTCCTGTGGAGAAACATCCGGCTCGCCCCTCATGGCCCCACCACTCTCCCCACCGACCACGTCGTCGTTTGTTCAACACGTGGATCCTCCGAGGTTCGGGCGCGGGCGGGTGGTAATGGGGGGTGACCGACATGGGGGGGGGAGAAATTGGCTCTGAAGGGGCCCTTTGGAGCCTCTTTTGGGGACCAGCTGGCTCCAAAAACGAGCCCTAACGGGCCTCTTCAAGGCCTTTTTCTTCACCCCCCGTTTGGGTCACCCCCCAGTGCCACCCGCCCGAGAGGTCTGGATCGGGGATCTTCTGACCTGGGTCAATCCAGACCCGGGTCAACAGGAAACCAAAAAACTGCAATGCAGGACAGAAAACTGCAACGCAGGTCTTCGCAAACCCGAGTCAACCAACATGCGCGGCCGCCTCGCGGCCACGAGCGGCTCGCTAAAACCCGGGCCAGCCAGCAGGGGTCTTCGCAGGATCCTGCAGGATCCGGTGTCCTGGCCGACCCCCGTGTGCATGGACCCCCGTCTCAAGGCTCCCGACTGGACCTGGACCCCGTTTCCCCGGGACCGCCATGGTATCCCGAGCCGATACCTGACGGACCCCAGGGGCAGCACACCTTGCGGGGGGGATCGGTCCTCGACCCTCTTCGACCCCTGCTCCTCCTCGATCCTCGACCCTCCTTGATCCTCGCTCCTCGAACCTCCCCCCCATCAAGGGGAGGCGCAGCAACAGGCAGGAAGTTGGTTGGCTGCTCCCCGCGAGCTGGCGCTGTTGGGGCCGCGGGCGCGGCCTCTCCAGCGGAGGGCTGCGGGGGCCCGGAGGGCGACTGCCGCATCTCGTTGGAAAGTGTGAGCCTGGCGAGAATGTCTTCGCTGGCTGTGACGGCCGCGTCTATTTGCTGTACTTCGCTAACGGCGTAGGCCCGCTTAAACTTTCTCTTCGTAGACCGGGTTTGCGTCGATATGACGCCGCAACTAAACTAACCATCATTTGGTCCACAGGGTATGCCGTCTTCATGTCAGCAAGGGTAGCGAAAACGCGGTGGAGGCCATCCTCTCTCGCCGCGCAATCGGCACGGCGCCAGCATCCCGAAAGTGCTGCATGTAGCCGGCCAACTGAAGCACAGCTGCGTCCTTGGGGTCCTCGCCGTGGAACTGAATGCAGCAATTGATTCGAGGACCCGCCCTGCGTTGCGCGCGTGGAGGGTTCGAGTCCTGTGAGACTACCTTCTCAGCATCGCCTCCACGTGCGCACGGCCGCGTGCCGCTCCCAAGTTCCTCAAGCAGCTCGGAGGCGCGGCCTGTCTCGTATTCGAGCACCGCTGCCCACACGGCGACGGCCTTCGCGCTCCCTCGGCTCCTGAGGCCCGCGCCTCCGAGCGCCCTGGGCCGTGCTCGAAGCCGCGGGCAGCGCGCGCGATGGCCACGGGGCCGCGGCGCGCGCCTGGGCCTGCGGCAAGGTGGGCGCCTCGCGGGCCCGCTGCCCGCAACGAGCAGCTCCGGAGCGCTGGCGGGCCAGGCGGCCAGGGCGCACCCGCTGGGGCGCGCCGCGGCGACTCTGGCCCCGGCGGCGCGCTCGCCCAGCCTCCAGGGCGCCAGCTTGGCGCGGTCTCCCAGCGACCGTGCGGGCCGATGCGGGGTGCCCATGGGACAAATCCCTCGGCGGCTCGCCCCGCGTGCACGCCTGGCCGCGCGCGGCCCAGCCCTGCGCGCAAGGGGCCTGGAGGAAAAGGCTCCGCGCGCCCCCCACCCACCCTGGGAGTTGGGCGCGCGGCTTGTGACCCTAAGTGGCTATGCGTGGTTCGAGCATCCCCCCCTCACCCCCCGCGACCCCCTCAGCACCGCAAGCCCGTGCCCGACCCAACACAACGCCGGGGCAAGCGATAGCGACGGAGCACAACAAAGGCAGCCGAAGGCCGCGGGCGCCAAATTGGGGAGCAAGGATACACCCTGCGAAATGCTTAAGAAATCATGGGTTAAGAAATTCATAGTCTCAGAATTTAAATAAAAAACTCAATTTCTACTAAAAATACGTTTTCCATGGAAACAATAAGAGTAATCAAGCCTCTGGCCGAAACCTTACGTTTTCTTAAGCATCGCCTAGGGTGTATACCGAAATCGCTCGGGAACGTTAAAGAAGGGGGGGTCCAAGAGAGGGGATCGCAGATCTCGGCCCGGAGCACGTGCACGGGCGAGGGGGGGCCCAGGGACGCATGCAAAAGAACACCCAGGAGCTGTCATAGTAAGCCGAAGAATATTGGGAATTAGCAAGTAACATTAACATTAGCAATATACAGTAACAGTAACAATACTAAGCATAATAATATTGGGAATTAGCAAGGATATTGGGAATTACCAATTCAAACGATAATGACAACACTAAGGATTAGAGCCCGAAGACTAACCAATACTGGTAACAGTACTGGCTATATGCGCACGAAAAGACTTATACTAGCATGAACACGAGGAGTAACCTGAATGTACCATATATTCTAAAATGAAGCATGCAAAGCAATAGTCAGAGGGAGCAATGAGATCCAGGGAGATACCATGGTCCTGGCCGTGCTACCACGCCCCTGAGACATCGCTGCTCCCGAGGCCTCCTTCGGTGCGGGTGCGTTCTGACTTGGACGTCGGGGAGAATCCGGACGTGTGCCGACGAGGGACGGGCAGCGGCGTGCAGTCCTGGTGCTGCCACAGGAAATGCTGGAGAGGGAACGACGGGCCACGGCGAGCCGCAGCGACGCGTGGGCTCCACAACCCAGCCAAATCTCAGGAACGGCACGAAAGCCATAGCCTCAAGTCGGGCATGTCATCCTACAGGCTGATTTTGGACGGGAGAAAATATTCTAAAAATCTACACATGATCGAACATTTGTCCCCTGACTATTTTTTGTCTATTTCCGAATGTTCCTCCTGTAGAGGGACGTGCCCGACTGAATCAGAGTGAGGGCCCCCTCACTGAGGGGGCCGAACGGTCATTCAGTGTCCCTGGGTGCGTGGCTGAAAAGGGAATCCGTAGTGACAATTCTTCGTGTTGTTGTTGTCGTCGCCCCCCCTGCGACCCGCCCACGACCCACCCAGCGACCCACCCCGCGACCCACCCTGCGACCCACCCCGCGACCCACCCGCGACCCACCCGCGACCCACCCCGCGACTTAGCCCGCGGCCCATCCGCGACCCAGCCCCCGACCCACCCCGCGACCGCCCGCGGCCCACCCCGCGACCCACCCCGCGACCCACCCCGTGACCCACCCCGCAACCCCACCCGCGACCCACCCGTTACCCACCCGCGACCCACCCCGCGACCCACCCGCGATCCACCCCGCGATCCACCCACATTGAAGTAACGAAAAAATCGGCGCCTGCGGCGGGCTCACTGCATTATTTGCAAAACTCCGGCGCCTGCGGCGGGCTTTTCCAGAACCTCGCAGACTGACGACGTCCTCGCCGCCCCCTCACTCTTATCCGCAACTGCGGGGTGCTACGTTAACCGTAGCCCCCTCATGAGCCCACAACGGTCTTTTGGACGCCCCAAATGGGTACGGAAAAAATTGGTACAATGCCCAACAACAAATGTTGTCCCAAACCAACAGCCGCCGCTGTTGGGCATGCGGACTTCTGCCTCAAATGTACACAGGCCGCTTCGACACCGCCGACAGCGAGTCCTCTTCAAAATGAACAGGAAGTGCTTTTGGGCATTGTGCCCAATTCTTTCCGCACCAATTTCCTTCGTGCAGAGGTCTCTTGTCCGCTCCTCCCCTGACGCAGGGCGGCCGCGGGGAGGGGGGCGACGGGTCCAGAATCAGGCCGAGCGCGTCGGTCTCCTCTCCGCGCGCGCGGCGTACGCTTCCCTGCCCCGCCCGGCTTGCTCCCCTCGTCCCGCCTCTCCTCCGCGCCCCCTCGGCTTCCCGCTCCGCTTCCCTCTCCGCCTCCGGGGCGTGATCCCGTGGATAAGCGATGGCACGAAGACGTTCCGCGCGGGGCACCCGTGCCACAAACACGCCCCGCATCCGCGGGCTCGCGGCCCAGGGGCCGCGATCCCGCGAGGCCGTGGATGCGGAGATGTGATCCGCCCACGACCAGGACCAGACGCAGGGAAAGGACGTAACGAGCTTCAGTATGCTGGGCTTTTCAATGCAGTGGAGGCCAGTCCACCAGAAACCTTCCATAAGAACCCCAACCCTGAGACCCCCAGGACGTCCAGTGATTTTTGGTGGGGGATCGTCTCGCTTTCCATGGCGAATCCATCGAAACCCATGAAACCCAAGGCACCCTGGAGGCAAGCAAGGTGTTTCTTGGCATGGGCTTCCACTGTAATGAGCTTCCATGCGCTCTGCGTACCGGGCCTTTCCGTCGGTGGCGACATCTCTGCCCTGCCCCCGGCAACCATCGACTCTCCTGAATCGATGGGAGGCGGGGGTAAGAGTCGGATTTCGCCACGTGCTCGACGAATTCCGAACCCTACCCCCGCCGCCCATCCAGTTGCCTGACTCCTTGATCGGCGAAGGTTCGGACTTCGCTGCCGATTCAATCTCAGATCGCCAGAGCATCCGAGAGCCTCAAGAATCGGGACGGACGAAAAGAGGGGGTCAATAGTGGGCGGTCAGGGAATCAGCTCACGTAGCTGGTCTCCCTAGCGCCTCCTCGCGCCGGAGGCGCCACGTCTCGAGGTAAGCGCTGAGCGGCGGAGCCAGAACCCATTGCATGCAGCAGATCTCGTCCCCCCCCCTCCGTTTCCTACCCCACCGCCCGGTCGTACGACCCGAAAGACCCCTCCCCCCCGCCCACACAGCAGCCCGAATCGGACGTTCACAGACGGCGGGCAAATGTGAAAACACCAAGAGGAATGACTACCGAAGACGCCTACGGAATATCACCGCCGCCCCCTGCCCTTGTGGAAGCGCTGATGTGGCCGACAGCTGGGCTTGGCCGAGCTGTCGGGCCAGGTGTTCACCGAGTCGGTTTGGAAAGCCTTCGGGGAACGCGTGGGGGAGCAAGAGGTTTGAAATCGCCCATGTTTCCCAGCGTTGTGACCATGTGTTCCCCAACCGTTGTGGAAACCCTTCGGGGAACACTTGGGGGAGGATAGCGAGGAAAATCAGAAGGAGGAGGAGGAGCAGGAGGAGGAGGAGAGGAGGAGGAGGAGGAGGATTAGAGACGGAGGTGAGGAGGAGGGGAGGAGGAGGATGAGGAGGAGGAGGAGGAGGAGGTGGAGGAGGGAGCTCCCTGGGAGCCTCTTGGAGGCATCTTAGGGGGCCTCCTTGGGCATCTTGGGGGCCGTTGGGGCTTCTCGGGAGCCTCCTTGGCCGTCTCAAGGCATTCCTGGCACGTCCGACGCCGTCGGAAGCCGCCTGGGGGCATTTCTGGGCCGACTTGACACCCTGTAGGGGTGCTCCAGGGCCGACTCCAAGGCCATCTTGGGCGTCTTGGGGAACTCTTGGGCCGTTCTGGGGCCGTCCTGGAGGCCTTTTGGGCGATCTTGGGCCGTCTCGGGCCGTCGGAAGGCCGAACAGAAGCAAATGCACCCTTCAAACACCGCAAGAAAATCCATGAGTTTGGCATCTTCGGGCCTTCCTGGAGGGCCTCTTGGGCTGTATTGGAGGCCTCTTGGGGGCCGTGTTGGAGAGCCGTCTTGGTGGGCTCATGGCCCGTCTGCCGCCGTCGGAAGATGTCTTGGGGGCCTCTCTGGGCCGACTGGGGGCCAACTTGGAGTGCTCCAGGGCCGTCTTGGAAGCCATCTTGGGCGTCTTGGAGGCCAATTGGGCCGTCTTGGGGCCCTCCTGGGGCGGTCTTGGGGGCCTCTTGGGCAACCTTGGGGGCGATTTCTGTGGGCTTTTGGGTCGTCTCGGGCACACTGGGGGCCCTCTTGGGGCGCTCCAGGGCCGTCTTGGATGCCATCCTGCGCGTCTTGGAGGCGTCTTGGGCCGTCTGGGGGCAAGAGCAGCTGCCAAAATCCTTCAAAAGGCTGAGGAAAATCAATGATGTTGGCCTCTTCGGGCCTTCCTGAAGCCCTCTTGGAGGCCTCTTGGCTCTTGGGCCGTCTTGGAGGCCTCTTGCGGGCCCCTTGGGCCCTCTTGGACTGTTTTGGAAGCTTCCTGGGCGGACTTGGAGGCATCTTGAGCCCTCTCGGGCCGTTTTGGAGGTCATCTTGGACCATCTTGAACGGACTTGAGGGCCATCGCAACCGTCTTGGAGGCCATCTTGGGCCATCTTGGAGCCGTCTGGAACAAAAAAACCCTTTGCAACCGGGTCTTGCGATCCCTGGGTCTTCCGGGTGGCTGGCGGGACGGGCCGAAGGCCCTGGGGGAGTTCTTGTGTAAAAAGAACCAACACCAAAAACGGTAGCGTCTAGCATACCGGGCACCCCTGTCACCAGCACAAGGAGCGGCGGATCGCATGGCCTTCGACCCATCCCGCCACCGTGCCTGGGTTGTGGTTCTGAGGCCACCCGGAGGGCTGATGGGGTCTCGTCTGAGGCCTTTCGGGAGCGTCTTGGACGCAGGTGTTGGGCCTCTTGGGACCTTCCTGGGGTCGGTGGAGCTCCCTATTGGGGCCACGAAGCGTGTGACCCCAGGAAGAGTCCGAACTGAGGGAACAACAAAAACAACCGATACCGCCACACTCCTCGGACCTCTCCTGGGGTGCGTTCTGACCCAGATTCTGAGGCGGATTCGTCAGCGGCGACGAGGGACCAGTACCGGTAACCCCATCAAGCCATTAAGGACCCCCCCGGGGCTATCATTAGCACCGCACCTTAATTGAATAATTCTAGGGGCGGTTTTCGCTGGACGATATGATTAGCACCGCGCACATGGATCGAAAATACATAATTCCCGCGCCCCGGCTCGGGTGGTATCCCACTTGGAATTTGAATAAGAATAATAATGACATACGAGTAATGATAGTAATAGAAGTACTACTACGAATAATGAGAAATAATGAAACATACAATACGGATAAGGCCAATAACAATAATACTAATATTTCGCAGAAAACGAATAAGAAGAACAGTAGTCATAATACTAATAATAATAAGAACAGTAACAATAATGATCATACTCCGAATACGGATGCGAATGTGGATAATAGTAACAATAATACAAATAACAATAATACTGCGAAACAAATAATAATAATGGTAATGCTCACCAGAGTGAAACAATAGGCAACATGATAGACAAAAAAACATAAAAATAATAAGAACACGACTGTTTTCTCATTCTCTTCACCATCCGTGTCCTTTACGATTTGTATTACCACCCCTGTTGAAACATTGTTTTCTCCCGGCCGTCGTGTGGGGTAGTGCATCCGAGGGTATCGCCCCCGCCACGCACCGCGCGTTATCTTAGCACCGCACCCGCACAAACTAAGTACGACAGCTTGTCCAAAAAGACAAGAGGTACAATGAGACCAATACTACAAAGAAGAATCCACATAATAATAAGACTAAGAATGCGAATCAAATACGAATAAGAGTACGGATAAGATTAATAATACAAATCCGAAAACAGACGGGCTCCCCTGCTTGTTTCCTCCCTCCCTCCTTTTTCGCATTTTCTTTATCATCCTTGTCCGATGCGATTCTTGTTACCACCCCTATTGAAACATTGTTTTTTTCCCGGCCGTCGTGTAGGGCAGTGAATCCGAGGATATCACCCCCGGCCACGCACGGCGCGTTATCATAGCACCCGCACCGCCCAAATTATTCGCCCCCCATCGTAGGCACGGACGGCTCCTTTTCAAAGCTGGGCTCTCCCTTGCGTGGGATTCAATGTTGTTATTGTTGGTGTTGGCGGTGTTGTTGGTGTCTTTGATGTTGATGTTGTTGTTGGTGTTGCTGGTATTCGCCACTGTTGTCCTAGATGTAATTCCTACTGCTGGCATAATTGTCGTTGTTCGTGTTGGTGCCGTGCCATAAGGGAGTCTTGAGGAGGAGAAGCAGGAGGAGGAGTTGTGTTCTTCTTAGCTGGGAATAGGACTAATAATAAGGAAAATAATCATACTAATAATACGAAGACTACTATTAATAAGCATAATACCAAGGTTTGCTTGTTTCGGCGAGCAGACTCGTCTGCGTTCACATGAAGGTGCGAGGTGCCAAAGAAACGCATCTGGGGTGCCGGGTGCGTTGTACGTTCGCCGGAGAGGGGGGGGGGGCGTTCTTCATTGCTTGATGCGGTTATCGCAGTCTGTCCCTCCTCAGACGAAGGGTATCTCGAGACGAGCCCGAGAGCCCCCTCCACAACGACCCCCAGTACTTCCTGGTGGGCTCAGGACTCCGACGCAATGACTTTGTCAATCCCCCCGTGACCTGGACTATATTTTCGCGGGGCCCGCTTTATCACCCCAAGTCGCGGATCACCCAAAGTCGCTTGCTGTCCAGCAAGTGCCCGTGCGGAGCCGTGTCGTCGTGCGCGCGTGGGGCCTCGAGGTGCCCGCGAGGGCCCAGCGCGGTGACACGGGGTCGGTTCTTGGGAGAATGCGCGAGAACTGAGAGGTCATGTCGACAGTGGGTCGCTCTGAGAATTCAGCCTTTCCTTCGCTGCGGGTCGTCGTGAGAGGCTTCGTGTCTGTCTTGGCTCCACGCTTGCGGCTGCCATGCGGACTCTATGAAAACCCAGTTTGGGTGCCCAGCCCCTCGGATAAAGTCGGGCGTGTCCCCCTACAGGAGAATTTTGGACGAAAAATAAAAAAAACGCAGAAACTATCCCAAACTGGTCGACAAAAATACAAAAAAAAATAGTCCCCAGACTATTTTTGACTGTTTTGGAATATTCCCCCTGCAGAGGGACAGGCACGACTTGACCCTCGGACGAGCTCACGC